CATAAAAACAGCATTTCAATAACAACTAAAGGTGGCATAGATACTTTATTATGGTATAGTATTTAAATATGTACCTGAGAAACGCATAATATTGTTCTTTTAACAGGCTTTTGTTGAACTGCAGTCATCTGAATCAGGTGTATAAGAGCAGGGAAACATCTAAAACATGCAGGACGGTGTGCCTTGAGGACCAGGGTTGAAAAACTCTGTCTTAGTGGACACATTTTTGCTACATTGTGAGACCATTTTACAGAAAAACACAGCCTCACGAGGACCAAAGCCATGGTCCTCATGGGTACGGTTTCTATTTTTGAGTGGGGGGCTAGGTTTAGGACCAAGATGYGAATTAAATTTAGGCTAGATTTAGGGTCAGGTGTGTACTGGGGTGGTTAGGTTTAGGGTGAAGGGTCAGTGTTAGGTTATAGAAATGATTGGACAATGAAAGAAAACCAAAGCAAGGTCCCCACGGTGATAAAAACATGTTAGTGTGTGTAGTGGTGATGGTGCTGGGGATGTGTTTACACATCTGCAGTGTTAGTAATTTTTTTTAAATTAAATATACAAAACACAAGGGGACTCATGGCTTTTTGGAGATGCATCACAGAGTAAAAAACCTACTCAGCCAGCAGCTGTTTTACTGTAGATCGAAGTCACCACACCACTGAACAGGTTTTTAATGAAACTCTCAAAAAGTAATCACTGGATGTACATCGCTGCCTGATTAACATCTGGAGTCAACCTGATTCCAGATGGCCCCCTGCAGCCAACTGAGCTGAGTATGGCTATAACTCAGCTAATTCTGTTGAGCTAGTATTTGGTGTAGTAGTAACTGATCACCAACAACACATACTTTAAATGCTACATATTGTTTTGTTGTTTAGAACTTGGTCATTTGCCGCTGTTATCGACCCTGTTTGACTTTCAGCAAAACACTGCATGAACAATTTAAATGAAACTTGGATGTCACCCCAAATTAAAGTTGGTTACAACAGCAAACTGACAATAGCCAACTCAAAATGGTTATAACTCAGTTCATTTTGCAGATATTGAGCTGAAATCTTTTGTAGTAGCTTAGAGTTAAGTTTCAACACTTTCACTGTGTTAACTCATTTTGTTAAACCTTACAATACAGCTTAAGTTTGACAGCATTAAGGTTTGACCAAATTAGCCCTAATATGTTTAGCGATGATTTTAGTTTAATGCCAGAATTTTAGTCAACTATGGCTTGAAAGATTGTGGACGATAAGCATTAATTCAAGAAATGCTGAGCCTTTATTGAATTTATATATATTTTTCAAGCAGTCAGTTTTTATAATCTTTTAAAATGGTGTTGATCAATTATTCTTTATGATTTATGGAGGTATTTCAGAATTTTTGATTGGACTTTGACTGCTTGGTTAATCATTTTGTCAACTTGACCACTTTCAGAGAAATGTTCCTTTGTTTGTAAATTACCTAACTTTGACCTATGAGTCATTCAGGCACTAAAACTCAAGAGATGAACCAAAGTTGTGTCGACCCAAATAAACAAGTCAAAGAATCAGTTTTAAACAGAATATCTGGGTAGCCTACTTTGTTTCCATTTTTGTCAGTTTTGCTGGGGGAAAAAACTTCAGGAAGCAAAACAGTTGATCAAGATGACTTTAAAAGGATTACAGCAAAGTCAGGCTCCTTCATAGCAGAGTATAAAGAAATTAGGAGTGGTTTAAAACTTTGGCACATCAGTGTAACTATGAAAAACTTTACTGCACATATTAAAAGCACTGCATAAACTATGCATCYATCCAAGTCTTACAATCATATCCAACCAAAAAGTACTTTTGATCCGGTTTTGATAAGCAAGAGATTATTAGATTCGATTATTAATCTCTTCAGCCTGGAAATTCGTTTTTATTTCAAAAAGTCCAACCAAATGCAATTGTCTGACTGCACTGGTAGGTTATTTCACTTAAAATGAGAAGATTCTGACTATTATCTAGTATTTTTTAAACTTATTTTAGATGGCTATTTTTTATGTTTTTGTTTTTAATAACTTGACCAGGAAACTGCTGTTGGCACTCAGAGCAACCAAAACATGAGCTCACCTGCCTGCCAAACAACACACTTTCACTTCCTTTAACTAAATACTTCAGGGGAAAAGGAACCAACAATTTTAACCTCAGAAGATTGTGTTCCCAATTTCCCTGTAACCAGTTTCCAAACACAGCGAACCAAAGAATGGAGGACATTTAGACAGATGATCCACTCGTTCTGTTAGTGATATCAGAGCTCATGGTGCCTTTTTTATATTCTCCTTCAAAGAAACTCATTTTCCTGGCTGCCTCTCTATCCCAGCCTTCTTTGCCTCTGGCTGCATTTTGATGACCTCAAAAAGCATTTATTCACATGGACTGCATGTCCCCGCAGAAAAACCTGCCACCCACTGATGCACATGGCAAAGGCCGAGTGAGCAGGCAGGCTACATGAAGAGACAGAGAAACATATGATGTACAAAGAGAGACAGAATCCCCCTTTTTTTAAATTTGACATTTTCCTGGTTTATGATTCAGAGGACACCAGGTTTGATTTCCTCTCCGTGCTCTCGACGAGCCATCAATAACTGCGCAGTTAATGCCAAGCTACCAGTGACTCCTCTCTTCTGGTGAGGAGATCGGAGATGAAGGGGAACAAGAGGAGGGCGAGCAACTGTTTAATAACACAACATAAACATTGTTTTGTTTTATAAGTGCAGATTACAGTCTTAAAGAAACCCCACAATGATCTTTGTAAAGATTAAACACAGGAAGGAAAGTTGTTAATGATTAAAAGTGTGTTGTTCGTTTTTTGTCAGGATACTGAACTTGTGTCATTTCAGGGGGTGGGGGGGGGGGGCGTCCTTTTTTGTGTATTTTTCATGACGTTTGACTCTGAATAAATTTTGAAATTTCTCCAGTTTCTTAACTGAGACTATTCATTTCTTCATTTAATTTATTTGCCAGTAACATTTGTAAGTTTATTTTAGTTTAAAGGGCATTCTTCTAAAACTTCTTATTCAAAAACATGCATGTTTCAGCCCTTTTCAAACCCTCTGTAACATTTGATGTTGGGACTTTTTTGTTTGTTTGTTTTGACTTTATATTTGCTTAAAAATGTTCAAAACCTGATTTAAAATGTGATTCAGGAAAACCTCAGACTAGTTGTTAAACAATAAATTAGGTCACATGCATAAAATCATCTCCTTCCCTGTATCACCTTTAGCTTCAATAAATTTGAAGGAAGTTTATCAGATAAGAAATTGGGGAATTTCTGTTAAAAAATCCTCATTTTTCCGTCACATCCTGTATTCTATTTAAACCTGCCCCCGTTTAGCAACGGGATTCATTTCAACAGACGGACTGTAGAAGTGAACCACAGGAGCAGTGATGCAGGTATTTGCTTTCCTGTCCAGAATATTTAGTTTTAAACACTTGCAATCTAATGAAACTTTGTAACGTTATTTGCTGACAATTCAGTTTAATAACCTAAATTAGCAACACTGTTTTATTGTTTTCCTTATTTTCATCATAATAATAGAAATAATAATAGAAAAAATGCAGTTATATATTTCAGAGAATTTTAGTTAAAAAGCAACACAAAATGTATTTAATATGTCCCAGTTTTCATTTTCAAATCTAAAAGAAAGCCCAACGCTCAGTTTCCAAATTGAACTTTAAGGGTCTTAATATTTTTATTGTGTATTTATAACAAAACTRATCTGCTAAAAACAAAATCATTTTTTTGAAAGAAGTCAGTCTGTTTGTTGTTAGTTACTCAGTAACAGACACTCAGTTCTACTGGTCGATTTACTCCCAGACAACATCTGTTAACCTGTTGGGGGAAAACAGCAGAAAGAGTTACAAATGTTTAACAGGTATTTTAGAGTTTAGTCATACTGTATTATCCTGAATAAACCCTGAGGTTCAGAACGGTTTCACAGCTGAAGACAAACATTTAGACGTCTCCTGAAGGGAAACCCCGAGTGTTTCTATAACTGTGAGTACCTGTTGAGATAAACAGGTAGTTTCTTCTTTYTAAACTCAAGCTATAATTAGTTTTTATAAAGTGCCAGAAGCAACATGAGATGTCACAAAAACAGAAGATGAATTAAGTCTGAGTGGAGAGACCGCACTGATTTCAAGTATATAATTTAAAGTGGATTTGTTAAATATGTGGTCACGTCGAGGGAAAGTAATCATTTTAGGAAACTGGAAATATATTTGCACAAAAACTGAGAAAAATACCGCCTCTTTAATGACTTTATCTTGTTTTAAATGTCAAAGAAAGAAAAAAAAGTATCAAATATTCATATTCTGTCCATGTGTGCAGAAATTCACTTGTGGGTGATTTTTAATTCCTTACTTTCCAGGTGACACTACTTCTTGGTCTGCTGGGTATTGTAGCTTCAGCTCAATCTTCCTCACAGTTTAAGCTTCCCGTCGACTGTAATGACATCTATACCCATGACAACAAAAGCTCCAGTGGGGTGTACAGAATCTATCCCGGTGGTCCGACCACGCCGGTGCATGTCTACTGCGACATGCTTACAGACGGGGGCCGATGGACCGTGAGTATTATAGAAGAGCAGTATGAATTAATGTTATAAGGATTTAGCTGAGCAGTTACTTTGTTCATGCAAAGCATAAAATAAAATATAAAGTGTGTCTTTTCTTGCACACTGTTTAAAACAGGTGAGCAGCAGCAAACTCCCATCCTGACTGTTGTCTTTGTAATTCTGCTCACACAAAACTGTTTTTATGACCGCGAGCTTGGCCTGGTTGCCACACTGCAGGAAAAAAAATCAAGACAAATCAGTTCCAACCTTCATGCACTTGTCGATTTTGCGTGAAATTCCAAATAACATTAAAGTTCCAAACTGCCAACATCTGTATTAAAGACAGGACAAAGAAAAGTTGGTATGTTTTATAAATTAAGCATGATCTTGCTGAGTGTGCCGTTTTTAGTAAAGTTTAAATCTCTGCCTCTCATTCTGCCTCCCAGGTGTTCCTCAGGAGGATGGATGGGACAGAATCCTTCTTCAGACCATGGAACCACTATAAGACTGGGTTTGGGAACATAGCTGGAGAGTACTGGCTGGGTGAGATAAAAAGGAAAACATTAAATTAAGGCCCCCTATTTCCACACGTTACACATATACGAGCTTATCCAACACATCACTGTGGTGCTTAGTTCAGGATGATCTCACATCCTGTACTGTTAAAAGTGCAGAAAGAGATTCTTGTTTAATTCAAATAAACCAATCTCACCAGTCAAAGTCTGACCAATGTTTTTCATTTTCTTAGATCAAAGAATCTCTCTAATCCAGCTTGTATATGTAGGTGGAGCTGCAGATTTCCATTTAAGTAGGGTTTGACTCACAGTCATTGGAGTCGTAAGGACCTTTTAACAGGAAAAAGCTCAAGTGACACAGGCCACTCCCTGCGATATCCTCACCAGATACATGAAATAAAAATCAGAGAAGTTTCAGACCAAAATCTGTTCATGGTCAAATATTTTTTGCAAGCCTGGTTTTAATGTAGCGAGCTCAACGTAAAATCCAACAGTGCCTCATGTTCCTTCTTTAAAACCGTCTCCTAAACATCACCTGAAATCAATAGTTCCAAGTCTGCCACCTACATAGTTTTTTTAACAAAGTGGAAGAGTTAAAAAAGTAAAAAAAAAAAAATACTTAAATATATAGATGAGATCAGTCTTTTCTTTGAGGGGAGAAGTGACAGAAACTCTTCAAAATCAGAGGAGGTCTGAAGAGCTAGGAACACATCTTGAAGCTATCTGGAAAACAAAAATATTTTATGGAAATAAATTTTATTTGGGAGCTGTTGAAACGAAGCAAAAGCAGAATCAACATACAAATCTCTCCGGGTTTTTATTCCCAACCTAATCTCTATATAACTCAGAAGTGGTCATACTGAGAGTTATGTTTGTGTTGTTAATTCGATCTTACAACCATTTTAAATTAGGTTGATGTATATCTAATGATTGTTTTCTGAAAGTTTAATGAAAGTCCATAAACTGGTTTATGAAATATTTTGCCAGCAATCTACCAAACACTGGAACACACATACCTTAACCCTAAAACCAACCCCTATACCCAAATATAATGTTTCACCATGTTAGGCTCTGGTCCGATAAGGACAACTGGTTCTGACAAGGTAAATATAACAGAAAAGGTCCTTGAAAAGGTATCAAAAACAGCTACATGCACACACACACACACACACACACACACACACACACACACACA